TATAAAACGTTGTATGTAGCACATAAATTTATAGTTGCTATTTTGAATGCCAAAAGCTGACAATAAAGTGTAATCCTATTATCTTAATATTTGTGATAAGAATAACATTAAACTGAAAAATTTTCTCTCCGCCTTTTTTTTTTTGCCTCTCATAGATTTCATATCATAGGTTTGTAAAAATTGCAGTTCAGACTTTTGTCATTTCCCACAAGAACTTCCTTTTCTTTTAGTTTTTCAATTATTTGTCAACACCCTAATTTATTAATGAAGAAATGGAACTGTTATTACTGACTGAAGATTTCAGCTGTTTCTCAGGTGTGTAGGATGTTGTTTCTATGCAAAAGGAATTTTTAAGGTAACATTGAAAACAGCACTTAACATCTGTGAAAGAGTCCAGCTGAAGTCTAGTCAGTCATGCTGAAATGATATTCAGTCATGAAAAATTGTAAGACCTTTTTACTGATGTAAAAAATACCTCTTATACTCTGTCCAACCATCAGTCTCTGATTACTTGAACTTTGTATCAAGGCTCAGCACTAAATATAGGCAACTACCTAGGGTGCCAAACACTTGAGGGCTCCAATGTGAGCAGGAGTGCAGCTTTAGTTTCTGCCTAGGGTGCCAGTTAAACTGTTGCCAGCCTGTTTTTGTCTCATCTCCTTTCACCTTTACTAGGCTAGTTCGGAGTCGGCTTTTATAATTCTGTGTAATTTAATTATTATTGTAAGCATTAAAAGCTTAACAAAATGTCTGATTTAGGTATTTCATGTGTAATAAGTACAGTGTAACAACTAGTAGAACTACAAATAAGTGTGGTAAGACATAAAAAAAAGATTATCTGGGGAAACATCTTTCTTATAAGGTTAGCAAACTAATATTTTCAATTGATACTGATACAGAGGTATATGTATATCCATTGCTTTATTTAATCATACTGGTAACAATAATAATGAATGTTTGTATCTAGTATACAGACACCACAAAATCAAGTTTTTTTTTTCAGATTACAATCCATTTTTATCACCCCATTCTCTTACCCCATTTTCCTCTTTGAAAATTTCTTATCTGTGAGTCTAGGAATTTGACTCAATTGAGGAAGCTCAAGAGTGGGAAAGACCTTGCAGTATATAAGAGTTGTAAACGCTTTTTTTAATGATGTTTACTCTATGAGAAAGGTCTTACCTTGAGGTATTATTGTGATCATCTGTAAAAAATAAATATTACTTTTAAAACCTAAAAGAATAATGTTATTTGTTGTAGAATTTAAGGCTGGGTTGTTGCTTTTGACTATAATAATGTTTTTTTTATATCTTTTATTGTTGTTTCTTCAAGGAATACATTTCCGTACTCGGGTTTACGAAAAGTTGACTCTAAAAATGGAATCATCACTTTTCATCATGATGGGTTAAAAAGAAAGCCAAATGCTGGATTTTCAGTTCCTTTAGTAACTAATCCAGGAACACATCAAGGTAAGTTAATCTATTCAGATAATAAAGGGTAAATAATTTATTTTCAAAGTGTTAAAAGTATAATTTGAAATCAGTATCAATATTTAATGCCAAGCTACGCATAGTTACAATTTAAAATAAAATGGAAAAATGCAACAACATTAATAAAATAAAATTCTGAGTTGTACTAGGTTCTTTACAAAGACATGATTTAATTATGTTTCAAAACACTACATTTATTTTTCCAAAATTGCTCTTTTAAAATGAATAATAGAGAAAACACTTCTGAGACATTTACAGTGTATTAAAAGAATAAACTTTTTGAAAGTTAGTGTAGTACAATTATGTTACATATTTAAAACTCATTGTAGTACATCCATGTTGTTTGTAATTAAGCACAAAGCTACACAATGGGCTATCTGTGCTCTGCCCACTACGGGTATCAAAACCCGGTTTCTAGCATTGTAAGTCTAGAGACATACTGCTGTGCCACTGGGGGCCAAAACTTGTTGTACATTAAGGTTGTTTTTGAAATTCAGTGTAATACAATCAAGTTATATTTTTCAAACTCAGCGTAGTACTATTATTTCAAAACTTGGTGTAGTACAGCCAAGCAAAGACCAGTTTTGACCGTGTACTAGCAACATGGCTTTATTAATATAGGTGCTATCATGCAATGTTGCACTTAAGTATGAAGTGGGTACCTTTTAGACAGTCTCTTATATACAAGCATGCACTTGTTAAAAGTTTGTGCAGCAACCAAAATCAGTATTCCTGATAAATATGTTAATGTTTCATCAATTAGAAATACAAAACTTCCTGTCAGTTTCTTTTCTGGATGAGTGAATTGCACCAAGTTCATATTGTTCAAATGAAGAAAAAAAGATAAAGTCAATAAAATTAGGTTAAAACTGGTGTAGGGAATGGATATTCTGGTGTGTTTTAGAATTCTTAAAACTTATGTTATATATAAATATTCAAAAAAATTTACACTGAACAATATATTCTGGATCTTTATTGTTTAGCTTTTTTTAATAGCTTGCCATGTGAATGTTATTTGTCTGGAGAGTTTGTTACATAAGTGTTGTTTGTCTTGAGATTTTCTCATATAGGCATTGTTTAACTTGAGTTTTTATCATGTAAGTATTATTTGTATGGAGTTTTTGCCATATAAGTAATGTTTGTTTTGAGATATGTGTGCTCACTGATCGTGCTTCAGAATGTTTTTTTTTTCTTTAGATCATTCTTTTAGATTGTGTTTAAAATGTGTCTAATATCTATAAATACTTTATGTGAAGGTATTTCATATATTTCCTAACAACTAAGATAACAGATATGATAGCTGCTTTTTTGTTGTTAGGAACAGCAGTCACTAGTGGTTCAGGACCATCTCTTTCTCGTACACCATCTCCATGTCCTTCTCCAGTCATTAATACCAATAGTAGTCCAATTTTGAAGGAAAAGCTTACTTCTACTTGCTCCTCAACCAACTCCAATCAATCTCGTCTACAACCCTCACAGATTTCACCTGGTTTAACTTTTGTCTCAGGTTCAAGCTCTCTAATAAAAACTTTACTAGCCAGTAAAGTTAACAAGAATCTTCAGAGAAACCAGCTATTTACTCAGAATCCTAAACTTGCACCAGTTTCCAAGACTACTTTATCTGAGTTGCTCTCTTCAGCTACACATAGTATATTGTCAGAGGAAGCCACATTAGCTAATCCCACTTTACAGGTTACCTTACATCAGTCAATTCCTTCAGCTAATTCAGTTACCCATGCAACTTTATCAAAAGTGGTCACATCAGTTAGTTCACCTAAACAGCTTACTTCGTGTTATTCGGTTGTTCCACTTAATACAAGTATACCTGTACAGATTACATCGTGTCAGTCAGTTACTCTACCTAATTCAAATGTACAGGTAACATCAACAACGATGATAATGCCTGACATGACAGCTTCACAGGCTTCTTCAGTTTCATCTGTCATACCACTTACGCAAGTAAATACGTCAAACTCAGTTTCTCCGGCAGAAAGTTTTAGACAGATGGCCTTTCCTGAATCAGTTATACTGGCTACTTCGACATCACATGAAAACATGTCAAACTCACTCATTTCAACTAGTACAGCATCACTGTCAAATTATGTTAATTCCCCTAATGCTTCTTTGATTTATGTAAATAATACCAACAGTTTAAGTCATTCCAATGACATGCATACCAGTCAAGAAAGCAAAGAAACTAGCAATCAGCTAAAACAACAGTCAAATTCACAGCTGTCTAGTCATATTTCCAATGCTGTTTCTACAAATCACCCAACCAGTAAATCAGAAACATCCATTGCTTCATCACATGTTAATGGTGTCCAACGGGATATCCTCTCAGAGGTAGGTATTGGATAAACGTGAATAGTGATAACTTCAACAAATGTTTTTTCCTTTTTTATTAATCTTTGTAGTAAAGCCTAAAACTTACTAATCAACATATTGAACGATAGATTGCTAAAACCAATCAAAAAAGGGATAGATTTTTCTGTAATAAAAATACACCATTTACTGCATCAGATTAAAATATAACACTTTAATTAATATTGGAATAGTTATATTTTTTATATTAATGTGCTTGGCCTTGAACATGTAAGAATATAGCAGTGAAATTAATGAAGAACAAAACTGTTGATAGGAATATGACGTGATCGTAATTTTTAACTAATTTTTTTAATTCAGAAGTAAAATTGTTCTAAACTTCTGTTATTAGTGCTCTTTTGTACGAAAGTAACACCAGCTTGACATTATTTTATGTGTTACGTAACTGTTATTAATCATGAAAAATAGAATAAAACATGCACATTCTTTGTGCTTAACAATCTTATTTTTAAGAAACAGTAAAGAAATTTTGAATCTTCATGTAGGTATTGAGTTTGGATTAGAAATATAATTGCTTCTAAACTCAGCAAAGGGATCAAAGGTACTTATAATTATAAAGCTAATTAAGAATCTCATGAAGTGCTGAGTTGTGAAAATGTTGAACCCTTCACTTTGATCCCAAAAGATGTATGAATTTTTCACACTTTATTAAAGAAAGTGTAATCGTAAAAAAATATTCATTAAGCTGTGAAAGACTTTACTATAGCCATTCTTTTAGAAGCAGTTTTACAGTTTTTTTGTAAATTCCAACATTCAAATATTTTATTTTGTTAATTAATTGGTTTCTCTTTTAAATTATATCCTTACTTTAAAGGGCTAAGTATTGGGCAGTAGTTAGCATTAGTTTGCACTCCATTACTGCTAAAAAAGAAATTTTGTTCTCACTTTGGGACCATGGTTGCATTATAAAAGTGGCAGTCAAATCCTCTTATTCAGTTAGAGTAGTCCAAGAATTGATGATGGAGGGTCTTGACTATCTGCCTTCCTTCTAGTCTGTCAGCTCAAAATTAGGAATGTTCAATGCAGATATTCTTTGAGTAACTTTGGAAGAAATTCTACAAACAACAACCTAAGCTTAAAAACAGTTGTTTTTAAAGTTTTTATTATTTTTGTTGTTTATTGAGTTTTGATGTTAATGATACTTTTTAAACATTATCTTTTACAGATTTGTTCAAAAGTATTTGCTGATGATTCATTAGAAGAATTCTCAGACTTAGAGAGCTCGGTTGAAAACAGTCATAATCATACAGTGGTAGTTGATGGCCAGGATCCATCAGGAGCAACAGGACAAGAAACAGCTTTCAATCACCTATCCAACTGTGTAGTGTCTAGTGGACCTGGAGATCATGGTACTCCACAGTTAAATAGTTTGCCATTCAATGTGCAGATTACCAAAAGTGTTGATTCTTTACCTTCAATGACTAAAACCTTAGCCAAATCTGCAATTGTTGTTTCAAATGGAAATGACCAATATGGTGTCACAAAATTGGTTCTTTCCTCTCCAGTAACTGCAGTGGCCACAAATTCTGCATATGCTGTTACAACTAGTAGAGCAGTAGTCTCAACACCACAAGTTTCTGAGACTGTTGTAAATGTCACAAAGGAGACAGAGATCCCAGGTGAGTTTCACAGGAGGCAGCTAGTTAAAGACAATGTTTTTAAGAGCTCTCCTCTTCTTAATGGTCTCTTAGATAAAGGAAAATCACCTTTACTTGGGGAACAGTTAATCAGCCTAAATGCCGAAGCTCAAAATGGAAGTGGAGAAAATAGTTGTGTAAGTTCACCAAAGATTGGTAATAATAGTAGTGTTGTGTTAGGAAGAATAGTTTTAGATCCAAAAGACATTATCAGTGGGGTACCAAATCTGGTGGGCATATCGAACACTGGGTCTGGTACTATTATGGCTACTAACCAGGTGATTGGATCAGTGGAAAGATTACAGATGGGGGAAATATCTAACACAAATAGTTTATTTAGGGAATCTGAAACATCAGTTTCAGGTACAGACTTATCTTCATTATCAGACATTGCTCAGACTGTTGAATGTGCATCCAAAGTCATATTGAGGACTAACATAGAAAATCAGTGTATACAGCAGCCTTTATCTAACACAGCAGTACTTCAGCCAGCCAATCTTGCTGTGTCTCAAGTGATTCCCTCATCTGGATGCCAGACCACAACATTTATTGTCAGTATTCTCAATCCGAGCCAAGCACTGCCCACTCAACACCTTTTGTTACGTGCTACAGGAAACTCAGTAGCTAGACTGGAGGAGCCTATGGAACTTGTGAGACTCCCAACAGTTTCCAAAACACAAAGCTGCCAGCAAAATGTTCCCAGTAGTCAGATCTCTGTCAAACGACCGTCCACTGACTGTACCCCATCTACAGTGTACCCAGCAGACTCTAAACGACCTCGTCATGATACTAAAGTATCATCTAAAGTTGCCATATCATATAGTCCAAAAGTTCAGAGTAGCCAAGAAGTGGGTCCTTCCTCAATCAAATCCTCTCAAACAGCAAAGCAAAACAGTCACTCTTCCAGGACAGCCTCTTCAGGGAGCAAGTCACGAAGCTCCTCACATTATAGTCGTAACAACAAAGAATTAGATCCAGTTTCAAGAGAAAAAAAAGGACAGGATAAACAGTCTTCTTGCATAACAGCAAGCAAAACATCAGTGAACAAAGCAACCAACAAAAAACTAGAATATATGTGTGAATGGAAAGGATGTGGCAGGTAAAAAAGTTATTTTATATAAATTTTATTATTATTTGTAAATGTAAGTATTTTTTCTCAGAAATAGGGTTACATAAAGTCCTTCATTATTCAATGAAAACAGTGATGATAAGTTTCGAAAATGGTTGAGTTACTTTCTCTATTTGATGTGTTGAAACAGTTTTTCTAATTGATGATTTACAGCATAGAAAAAAGAAATTCTGTTGGGTTTAGAAATAAATACTTTTTAGTGAGTTTCATAAATTTCTATAGTTATAAAATACTCCTACATTTTGTTTTTGAGGGGCAGTATATACCAAGCTAGCATCTCCTCAAGAATTCGATGACGAGGAACCCACTTTGAGACTAATAATGGCTGGAGACAGCTTAAATG